AAAGGTTGTTTTGGACCGTTTGCTATCGGACTACTATCAAGCATTTCCATCTTGGTTGTATGACTGTGTTTTTGTTTTCATGTCCTACTTGTGTAAATGCAAAAAGATTACGAAAAGAGCCTGGTTTTTAACGAGGCGAGAACTGATAGTTTGTTTGTTTGTTATTATTAATCATTGTAAGCAAATACTAATTGATGTAACAGTCTTGCACTCTTTTCCGGCCACATTCTATTATATGTAATATATTCAGCCAGAGCTTGGCGGTGTTAAATAAAAAAAAAATAAAAAATAAAAATAAAATCGATTGACGAAGAATGAATATCGGTCGTTGTACTTTGGAGAGGTTTCTAATTCTGCCCCGATTTGAGATAAAGCGCGGCAAAGCATAAGAATGCTCAGTTTTTTCCTTCCTTTTTTCCGTTTCAATCGATGATCCGCCATTCATGAATTAAATGTATGATGTCGAAATATTCCCATTCCGAATCGAACCAATCCCGCATCGTGGAGCTCGTTGATCGAGTGAAGTAGTACAGTTCATGCATAAGTAAAGCGGAAACGAAAAGGGACAAAATTGATTTCCCAGAGGAAGCTCCGCATTCTCCCCTCGTCCTATGCAACGGAAAAAGCAACATATGTAAAAGATTCCTCCTCTCTGCACGCAGCGATGTCTCATAATAATGCCGGGTGCCGCATTCAGAGGAGTGTAATTTTATTTACTTTCAGCTTCATTGTTTTCTCCAACGTTTTTTCCGACATTTTCTTCTTTTGGAGTACTAAAGACCAATTGCAGCGGAAGAGTTCTCTCGCTTTGAACTGTGTCGACGCGGGAAGTTATCACTATTTCATTGTCTGGCAATGCGACGCTTGTCTCGATGTGCATCCCGATCATTGTTGGTCGTTGCAATAAAAACGCTGTTTCATTTGTTCACCCGTTCTCATTTGTCTTGGGCGCTCATTGCGTTGGTTGCATTTTTGCTGCAGTCATTATCATGCATAATTTATCTCACCGAAATTGGACACGCTATTCGAGACTTATTTCATCTTATTTTTTCCTCGACTAGCTATGAAAGCTCAATGGAGGAGCTGCAGCGCTATAATGTGCTCTAGCATTTGTGCTACAATCATGGTGCAAGTATCGAAACACTATACTCACTCACATGCCTGAAGACAAGCATTAAAATGAATGCTTTTGATTTTATGCCAGACCACACGAATATATTTTATGCAGATAACTTTTTACCACCTCATAAGTTATGAATAACAATGCCATTACTTAGATATTCGCTCCTCTTTTACATATTCTCGGATTTTATAACACAAATTCAAAATAAAGAACATCTTCCAAAGTATGAAGTATAGTGTTTATTTATGAAATGATTATATTTCGATTGGATTTAAATGTAAAAAATTTGCATACTCCACAATTTCATACCTGCAAAAATTGTGAAAAGTCAAAAAAAGCAAGCAGAACTGGTGAATAAATGAATTCAATTTTACAAATGCACTAATTGACTTTAAGCTGTCGCAAACAAAAGACACGTAGAACAAAGCAGATACAATGTCTGTTTCGAGAAAGTTGGAGAAAGGTGTTCGAACAAATAATTGTTGGGCGTCCAATAAAAAAATAAAATATCGTTTAGTACTTTATGGACTCGTTGGAAATCATATGGGACTTTCCAACGCTGAATACGTTTTTCTATTCTTTGAAATGATCCCAAGTTTGAGTGCGACCTTTCGTCGAAATGAAATTTCGTTGACCGACAAAAAATGTAGAACAACGAAGCATTGAAACGGGCACATAATCGATGTTGGTGAACGTTGAGAAACTCATTTTGAAGACAGGATAGACAAAACTATACCTTTTCTCTTCTTACACATACGAAGTACAATTATGATCATAAACTCATATTTGTGACATTATCATAAAAATCTAATAGAAACTGAATTTCGTTTTTTTCCATTCTCCCGCTTCAAGGACCACTTTAATGAGTAATTGTAATTTGGTAAATGGCCTAAAATTCCAGAATAATACAAATTGCGATTTTTACATTTGCAGGAAAAACAAAATTTTCGAATGAATTAATTTGAATTACTTCTTTGATTGATGCCGAAAATGACCGTGGATAGTGCTTTTGCTCGATTGTTCAAAGCAAAAGCAATTGATTAAAATGCCATTACATCTGTTAACGGACATCTGCAATTTGATCAGCTCAGTGGAAACCACATGCATCCTACCGATTTGGCCTCAATCAACGCTATTAATTTTCTACAATCCAATGATAATTCGTTTGGATCCTCTCTTTGCCCACCAGAAATCCATTTAATTTGAACGGCAATTTATCGGCGATCGTCATTCCATTTGAATGGCCCAACATAAACGCCTCACACTTTATTTTGATTTGTTTCTGTTTGGTTCGCGTGCGGGTGTGGAATGTGAAAATGATTTCTATTATATGCCAACCATTGCACCGCGCTGCATCCGAATAGCAATTTGATCAATCTAAAATTGACCACATCATTGTTTTGCGTGGCGCACAATGGGGTCACATGAATTTCACTGTGTTTTTGTTCATTTTCTCAAACGATTTTATTCGCTTTGTGTCACGTGTGAAATGATATCTACATCATTGTTGATGAAAACTCTTACATTGACTCACCCAGGTCAATCGTTTCCAATAAATTTCAGGAGATGCATCAAAATAAAACCGATTGCATAGAAAAGCGTATTACAGTTGTGAACAATGTCCAATAGGCATTGTCTATTTACAATATGGTTTTCTATGTCAACAGCCAAACAAAAGACAATTACACCAAACATTATAGGCAGGTTTGATTTGAAGGGGACATAGTGTATTCGGTGAGATATTGCAATTTTTCACAACCAACACATCTGTCGTTCATCGTGTTTACCCTTTGTCAGTACATATTGCTGTATAGGTGACAAAAAGTCACTCTCTTTGCATTCGTTCTCATAACAATGATAGAAAAATTTATTGCTGGATTGAAAAAAAATATTAGCTAACATCAGGGGAATTTGCATGGCATAGAAATCGTATAGTGAAGAAGTGTGGAGAAAATGAAATTTTTGTTGTTTGCGGGAGATTACACTGCTATACTATACTCATATCCAAGAAGGTTTCATGTTTTTATTCAAATTTCATTAGTATTTTGAGCCAAGTAATAACATACTATAATGAGGATTGAATTGAGGATTGAACAGCAATTTATTATTGAATTCATAGATAGTTAAAAATCGGATTTTCCAAGAAAATATCCTAAATAGTGGCGTTAACCCAAAAGCATCTTATTCTTTCAACGCAAGTCTAGAGTTGAGTCGTATTGATTAGATTTAAATATTGGTAATCTCGCTTCCGTCTTCAAAAAACACACATTTTCTCCATTGAGGATAATTTAATGATGCTTTCGTTCTGAATCAAATCGACACAAGCACAATGGGGCTGTTCAAAAAAGCTAAATTTTATCTTGGTGGCGAAGATTAACTGCTCTTCATATCAATTATCCTGTGTAAATTGCCAAATAAACAACACAAATTATTCGTTGTAAAAACGAATAAATCATTTGACACATATTTATGTGCAAGTTCCTGCAATCAAAGTGGTAAATGAATTAAAACCTAAAACGGAAAATGATGTGGCTGTTTTTATCGGCACCTGCGTCCTGAATGAATGAACGAATGATGCTTGTAAATCGTATTTATTTACATAAAAAGTGAATAAAAACTTTCTGCTATGCACTGTATCTTTCAATGTCTGATGAGCGAATTTTTTTCATCAGCATTGATAAATGACTGTTTTACTCAAATAAAATGTACTTTCGAAACGAATTATTTTGAACGGAGAACTTTGCCCCAAACAATTTATTTGTTGGAATAAACATTTTGAAATTGTAACAAAAAAATCGTCAGAGCGCATGCTCCCCTACACAATCATTAAAAATGAATAAATATATTACATCAATAAGCTACAGATGGTTCTTTATACAAGCTGTGGTCAGATCAATCAAGGATTGAAGCTATGATTTAACTCAGTTGTTGCGTTGAATTTAATATCGGGACACCTTACTTTATGCTATAAGGAGTTTTACTTTCAGTTCTATGCTTTAAAATCTCCCTTGTCATGGACTATGATGCATAGTCTCAACATAACGAAAAACGATATATAAAAAACAAAGAGAGAAAGGAGTAGACAGAAAATCAGTAAGATAATTTTTGCTGCCATTAAAAAGAGTACAAATGCAGGTTTATTCCGATGAATTAACTCATGCTAACTCATAGTTCTGTACATATTTCCAAATTTTGGATTTTACTTCGATGTGTGTGTTTCTATTATATGATTTTATAGCATGTACGGATCTATGCACAATTGCACATGTGTAAATTTCCAGAGGAAAATCAAGTTAATACAAACATACAATGAAAACAACCGGAATGAACAAAATAATCGATGTGCTCCAGTTATCCAATTTTATTTAAATAAAAAATCAAGAATTTTAGTTTGATCTGTGCACTATCATTGTAATGAACATATGTAAACGTACAAAAAATTATGGAAAATAAATTGATACTCTGTATTACGTGATATTAAACTATGTATTAAATATGATTCTAAATTACTTTTCCACATAATTTATAGTCAATGTTATCTTATCTAGTAATATTCGTTTGAAACGTAAGGATATGCTTTCATGCAATTGTAATTATCCTGAAATATTCTCATCTGTTGTAAGAACATCCAAAGATGTATCTATCCATACAAGTGAAGCTATAAGGAATGCCATGATCACTGAAAACCACCACCATTATTGATGTGCTTGTTGGTCGCTTGAACAGTTTCTCTTATTCTCCTATTCAACGCTGCAATCTTTATCGAATGCTGGCTATTTACTGCATGTTCTTTGTCTCCGCCCACTTTCAGCTTAAGCGTATTTAAGGTGATGGTATAGACATCAACTGCATCAGTCTCAACTCAAGCGTCATCCGAACCGTTTGTGTTTGTCCTTTAAATTTGTTTGAAAAAGTTATTCTACCTGCTCAGAATAGTGTGACATACTAAAATCGTTCATTGCAAAGCAAAACTAACTTCAACGAAATTACGAAAAAAAACATTTTTTTGAAACGACTGTGTGTTGCTGGAGATAATATTGAAAATGGAAACAAACAACGAACATATCGATTCGTCGGCTCGCCGTTACCGTACTGCATTCACTCGTGAACAGTTGGCGCGATTGGAAAAGGAATTTTACAAGGAAAACTATGTATCACGACCACGTCGCTGTGAACTGGCCGTTCAACTCGGTCTTCCTGAATCAACCATCAAGGTGTGTATATATTTCGATTTTGTGTATTTTTCTTCCTTTCAATAGAGTGAAAATCGATCGAAAATTTAAAGTGCGAACTCATTTGATGATTTTGTCAAAATTATTACGCTAATGAATGGCTTTCGTTCGCAAATATCGATTTTTTCCTACCCTAGTTAACATTCGATTTGTAATTGGTAATTTCCAACTTTACTAATGAACGCATCTTTTGTTCAATTCAATAGGTTTGGTTCCAAAACCGACGCATGAAAGACAAACGTCAACGGATTGCCGTTGCTTGGCCATACGCAGCCGTCTATGCTGATCCAAATTTTGCAGCCTCGTTGCTTCAGGCGGCAGCCAATTCAGTCAGCATGCCATACTACGCACCCAACCCAATGATTCCACAAATGCCAGTGATTCCATCGTCACAAATTTCAGCGGCTGCAGCAAATCCATACACATACGGCTACCGATACTCACCATACCAGATTCCACATCGAAACCCAACCAGCATTCCACCTCATTCACTCTCATCACCATTATCAACACCCCCTAGCGGGCCAATTTTTTCGAGAGGAGATCTTGGAAATGGTTTGAACAGCTCGTTTGGAAGTGATTATTTACATAGCCCAAGCTCACCACTATCTCCACTATCTATGTCACCTGTGTCAGAGAAAAATTTCCAAGATTCACAACCGCCCATGCTCCATCAAATCAGTCACAACAACAATAACATCGGCGAAACAACGATAATCAAATCGGAGAAGCCAAAATTATTCAAGCCTTACAAATCGGAGGAATGAAAACATATTTCTGTTCATGAAATTATATGACTTAAATTGTGAAAATGTGTCATTTTCAACGTCTGCATCATAATTATTTCGTTGATTCTGTAAATAGTGTACATTTAGTATTGTTAAGTGTTTTTTATGTTTTAGTAAAATGCTTTAAAATTACAATTTTATTAGAAAATAAATAATAATATGAAAACAGAGAACAAATCCATTTTTTTATTCATGTTTGCTTTCTGTAATTAAAAGATTCAAATTTAGATCGAACCCAATTCGATTTCCTTCACAGAATGTACATACAAAATATGTCCGATTTGGTGATGAACAACAAAATTTTCTTCGATAACAATTTTCTCAGCTGCACTCATTGAAAAAAAAAATAATCGAAAGATTTGAATATGAACACAGGTATGATACGACAATCCATCTCTTTATTGATTGCTTGTCACACAACGTCTAATCGCCAGTATGAGTGCGTATATGATCGATATTTTTGGCAGAGAGTAAATCGTACAATTCTTGCGTGTAAATGTTCTGACTGAGCAGCCAATCGATTATTTTGGGACAGTTGACTGGAAAAGAGTGATGTAACTGCAATCCAAAGTAAAACATTTCCTAATTTTACCAGTGCGACTGGCCGAAATTTCATCATAGTCGACTATTTTTCATACAAAACATCTACTCAGGTGTCCATAGTCGTTTATTAGAAGATTTCAGTTACAGTCTGTCAGTAAGTCCTTTATTTTCCACACGGGTGCATTGCCAACAAACATAAAACCGCGTTTAGCGCCATCGTATTTTTGAACCCTTTTATATGCTGTCGAAATCGAGTCACAATGGATTTATTCAAATCAATTATTTCATCGTCAAAAAACATAAACTCATGAGTTAACCAAGATACCCTGAAACTAAGATTGAATTGCATTTTTTTGGATTTAAACGATTATTTGAGCGAAAATGTTCGATTTTCATCAAAGTATCCGCGCCCTTTATTTGCGTGATCATTATTCAAAGTGCAAACTCGTTTTGTATTCCATATCGCAGGTCTATAGAAACTCGGTGTTATTCTCGTTTTATTTCGGTATTAATAACTAAATCAAGCGTTCAAATCGAATAAATGAGTGGACTGCGGTAAAAACTAAGAAAATGAAAGGGTACATGCTAAAACCTGTTCCAAATCTCACACATTTCGAAAACATTATACAGTTAATAAATGTTTCGACAATTTTCCATCGCTCAGGATAACACAAAGCGATGCATGTCGAGCCAATAATGAATTCAATCATATAAATTCTAGCGTTCTTTCCACTTCTCATCAGTGCCTATGTTTCCAAAATTGTTAATAGCGTTGCGGGTGAAGTACTTTGGCGGCACATCTTTCTCGTTTCGTCCGCTAATTTCTCTATTATTCAACATTTTTACGAATGATGAGTTTGAGCTACCGAAAACTCGTTCGTTCATTTACCACACGCAATAAAATTCCAATAAAAAAATTAACTCGATTGTGTGTACTCGCCCTCTGCGTGTATATGCTTCGTCATTATTTCTGCTTGAGCGGTTTCGTTATGAGAAACAAGCCACGATGCCAATACACATTTCATTCGTTTATTAGTAAATCTTTTTTTATCACTTAAGTGCTAAGTGGTCAATTCCAATGTTGCCGCTCATTTTCTCACGTATTTTGTTTCGAATAGAAGTCTGGATGTTTCTTCTACACAAACATTTAAGGTGAATCGATTCTTTTGAACAAGAGATACGGCGTAAATATCGATGATCCAAAACAGAATCATATAATGATTCGATTGTTATCATTATTAAAATAAATCTGTCAACTATTTTTCGGTTGTGTTTTTCAGCATTTTTTCTGCGTCGTTCCATTTGACTTTTAACTGAATTGGAACATTATTTAAACCAACTTGGACTTTAAATATTTACTTTTCCCATCGTTTTGTTTACCATTTGCACAGTGGATTCTTCGGTCGAGCTGAGATTTCCATTCGATGCCTCACTGAACTCCTTAAATACTTGCTTGTTGATCTTTTGGTTATTTTCAGCAACCGATAAATTTGATCTAATTTATGACGTAGTTTGACGCAGTTTCAACTTTTCGGTTGCTCTTTTAAAGATCAAATAGAATATTTTAGAAATCCAATGTTTGCATTTTGCATACAAACAGTGACCACATTCAGCTAACATAATATTTGCTCATAAGCGTTATCTCATAATTAGCTGCAGCTATTTTGATTTTGTGACTTGGCACCCAAAAAAATATCATGAAACCGTTGAGTTTGTGACAAATATTTCAATGCTTTTCATGGAAATATGTCACAAATTCAAAGGTTCAAGTATTTTGTACTGGGTGTCAAGTCACAAAATCATAATAGCTGCAGCTAATTATGAGATAACGCTTATGAGCAAATATTATGTTAGCTGAATGTAGTCACTGATACAAATTAATAAAGATTTGGCTTGTTTCGTGTCTTAAGTTTTAGCCCTGAAATATTTTTTAAGAACAACACGAATCTTTCTATTTCAAGCGATATGTCGACATAGAAAAATTTCGATTTTCTCCCAAACGGAATCAGATGTTTCTGAACACTTGGAAGATCAATTGTATCACCATCTCAGCATTTTATTAAATATTTTCCCCTTTTTACATTCAAGATACATCGGAATGAATCTTGCACTTCACAAATTCCAATCAACCGGGTTCAATATGAGGGAAAACTCTATTTCTCCAAATTGATGAAATCTCATATAAATTCAATGAAAAATAATTTGACTTTGAGTTTTCGCATGCACGTTTTTGGTGACGTTTTCGAGGCTACAGTGGAAAGGATTTATTGCCGAGGGCAATGCAGCACACGTGTGATGTGAGCATCGATTAAAAGTAAAACTAAAGGTAAATTACAAACGTTTTCACGGTCAGATCAATCGGAAGGACAACTAACTGACTGGTATGAACTATTGGTACTCTCGATTGATGTTTTGGCTTATATGAGGATGCACCCAATTAGCGAAACATGTCTTTGGGAACATTTATGTTTTCACATGAACAAAGTGCCAAACGGACTAGGGGCTAGGAACAAGTTGTGTCATTCGTATGTATTCGCATATATTCATGCGTTCGTGGCTTTTTTATTGTTGTTGTAAACTCACTGCGCTGCGAATGTCTCGTATACACAATCACAAAAATTCACGAATATTCGTACGAATTCGTCTCAAGCGCTTGTGTTCCTACCCCCTAGCAAACGGACGATGAAATCAATTCGAAAAGCAGATTGGCTATTAAAATCAACGGAAAGATTTACAGCAATGTGAAGCATCGATCACAAGATATATATTAATGCTATGCGAATGTAACGGGGTACCACCGAGTTCCTCCCCTAACAGAAATGCGACTTATTGACCGCAACGAATTCACATTCAAATTGTATTAAAATGAGCTCAATGTTGTGCATAAAATAAATGCCAATTAACGCACTACGTCCGTTCTGCGCTAAACGATCGAAACTCCATCATAACTAATTAAGCGAATCACCGCAACTGATACGTGAGCGAATCGGAAAATTTACAAAATATTTTGACATTTTTCCCAATCATACACACATTTTCATGGGACCAAGATGGATTTTACTGAGCACGTGATTTGTTTTGAAGAAGTGTGACCGGTTCCCAATGTTTAACTAGTTTTCGTTTTTGCATAGCATGAATTTCGCAGAAGAACATATTATCAAAGATTGAAACTATAGAATTCAAACATTTTGAAAGCTGAGTGAGGTGAGTAGTATGGATAAAACAGTTTTCTCCTCTTATTTTCCAAGATTACTCAATGTAACTGTTCTTTTGATGATTTATATTTTCAAAAGTGCAATAAATTGAAATTTTTATACAAATTTCATCTCTCTCGCACTGACTCGTTTGTGTGCGTCCTACCGTTAGAGTAAATGAGATGGTGTTTAATTGAACTTGTACATTTCGACTTTCTTATTCTTTCTCTTGTATACTAACTAGCATATTATCTCGTTGAGGTGCCAGCAAGAATATTATACACCAATACAACCCACCATTATTTGCAAAAATGTTAAAAATAAATTTATTTTTTTAACATTTGTTTTTGAAATTGAATCACCAAAATATATGCTGCCAAACACATTCAGAATAAAATGTTGGCGAACAAAGTCACAATATTGTTAAACAATGTTTAATAAACATGGGCAACATATAGTTATGATAATCTGTGATAGTTGGCTGAAATAGCAACCAGTTTGGTTGGAATTAAATAAAAACAAATGATTTAAACAAATTAAATATTATACATCCCTCTTCATTCCTTTTTATGATTGCATGTAAATATTGTCTTGTACACAAAACATTACAATTTTTATGTTGTTTTTCATGTTGTTCACAATTTCATAGAGCTATAAAGAAACTACAAGGGGTGAAATTGTAAAAAAAGGAGACACATCAACCGGCAGAATATAAACAGTTCTTAATAGGGATATTGATATATTGCTCTTCGAAGGCAGCAGCAGCAGCAGCAAGCAACGCGAAGGGTGAATGACAAAATATGAATCGAAATTTTATTCGAGTAATCAAAATATGCACTGCTCTTGGTGCACATGCTGTTACCAAATCACGAGAATAAAGATAAATTATTTAACATGTTTTGCATTGCTGAATTATAACAGAGGAGTGAATTGAATGAACTGCTTACCCGAGGTAAAAAAGGGCACACACATTCATAATAGTGTATCATAGCAATTGTCTGTTTAGGCACGTTTTTCCTTCTCTCTCGAATCCCTCATGCTTTATCATTGTTTTGGTTGATTCACAAGAGGCGTGAAACGGATTTAAATTAATGCTAGCAAAATATGAGTAAAGACATGAATGTTTTATTGAGGCCGATGAATCACTTGTTTTAAAGTGATAACTAATTTTGATGCAATGTTTCTACCTACAGAGGACGATTTGATTAAGTTCATTGCTTGGATTTCCATAGATGAACAAGTAATAGCGAAATTCTGATGATACTTTATTGATAGTTGACGTCTGAAATTCATCTTTATTGTGATAGAAAAGCAAACATTGTCATTGCTAAATCTGAGCCAATAATACATGTGATTTCGCGTATGCATGCAGTTGGACTGTGTTTATGCATT